TTTCTTTTGGAAAGAAAACATTAGATTTTGAACTACAGAAGAGAAAATGCATACCACCATTCCCAATTAATCCGTGTTCTTGAGAATTAGTATGAATTAATTAATTAATTAAGTTGGGCAGTAACATTATCTATCGACTTCAAGCTTGTCCTTTTTTGGTTGGAGAAAAATGGGAAATAGCAGTAATAATTCATTTGCGACGTCCATTAATGTGAAAACCAACAGCAAATGCATGTTGTTAGTGAGATTTTAAAGTCTTGATTCCCACCAGATCTACATCATTAATTAATTAATTAATTATCAGCTCTTAAATTCAGTTTTAGTTATTTTTAAAGGCTTCCCTCTACTAAACAAACCCTTAAAATCAAACTAACTGACTCACAAACCCGACTATGTGAAGTTCTTGATTAGGACATTCCTCCGGCCCTCTCGTCATTGAAATGACGGTATTGGCCTTCCGTAAAAATAGCAGGTTTGTTTTGACTTTCTGGTCGTTAGAAAACAGTTGGATTAATTTTCGGTGTGCACCCATCATTCTCCATGCGTCCTCCACTGCCAATTACAACTCACAAGCACCACTTGCTAATATGGAAAAGAGTTGGTTAGAAAACTCTGGTGAGTTGAACATTCTTCCCTTGAGAATATTCTGAGACGCAATCTGGGTGATGAGTTGGTAATATTTTTTTTGCAAACCTATAAACATCCTCAACCTTTAGTATAATGTTAATTAGGTCCCCAACGTATCAATAAATTTTCAATCAATTCTACAGTCGGTTTCGGTTAACAATACTGTCAATTACTCATACCAAACTTATGTAAACACTTTTTTCCTACTAAATGCCTTCGAATTTCCAAATATCCATGCTTTGAATAACGTGAAACTCATATCCTATTTATACTAGATTACATAAAAAAAAAAAAAACATTAAGCCTTTATTTTTTGTTGTGTAGTTAATTTATTGTCCTATCATGTGAGAGATCTGAGTAGATCTGTGGGTTTTTAACACAATTAAGGTGAAAGAAACAAAAATCGCTTGAGTTTCGTATTATTACTTAACAATAATTTTGTTAATTGAAACTAATAAAAGGATCTTATTAAGAATACACTGATAAGATGAAGAATTAATTGAGATCATGTTAATTGGGAAGTTTTTTTTTGCATTTTGTCCTATTTTTTGAAAGTTTGGGATATTCTCAAACCAATTTTTTGTTAATTTACCAACACTGACTAATTAAGAGATTGATTAGTAACTTTGAGGTTTTGTTTTCGGTTTTTTGGTTTTTGCCTCAAAAGTTAAAGAAAAGATAAATTCGTCATGAGTTTTTTTAATAATGAAAAATTAAGTGTCTGATTTTTTATTTTATTTTATTTTTTTTATATCTGACCTTTAATTTGTATAAGTTAAGTCGCTAATCTATTGATGACAGTATAATCAAGTGTCTCGATGGATATATATCAAAAATTCGTTGATCATGTGTTTTTTAATAATAAAAAATAGATATCAAAATTTACAAGAAAAATATTCAATATTGTGAGCATGCATGGAGGAAAATTTTATAATATATAAAGAGTAACTAGTGGTATATACGAGTAGTTACTTTTTGGATCCACTTTGAGGAGAGAGATAGACACATAAAAAAAAGAAATTACATCCATATCAATCAAAAGTGATAAAAAGATTTCTATGTCCGCTCAAATTTTTTTATTTTTTTTCTCTTTTTGTGTGCTTATCTCTCTCCTCAACGTGGGTCCAAGAATTAACTACTCGTATATGTCACTAATTACTCTTTGTGTATTATAAAATTTCTCCATACATGGACATGAAATATTATTTTTGCTTTACTAATTTTAAAAGGTCCTCGTTTGAGACAGGTTGTGAGCATAAAATTTGTTTAATTGGTAACATGGCATACCTATTTAAATTAAGCAACATATTGAGATTATTATTTAACGGATATATCAACAAATTTTTAACGGACATTTATAGGAAGTATTTAATTGTGCTAGCTGTTACATATTAACAAATGCACAACTCCATTGATAAAAATTAAAACTGAAATACCTAATTATGAAAATGAAAAAAAAATCCAAATAGTTAATTTATTATATATGTCAATAATTCAAAACCTAATGACAACTAACATGCACATTTGACTCGTGGGTTTAATTTAAAAGCCCGGAGCATGCAGTTCAATGAAGACCGAAACAAATGGGACATAATTAATGTGTTTGAATTAAAAATAATATTTAAAAAAAAAAGCAAAAAAGCAAAAAAGCAAAAAGCATGTACACCTAATTACTGTTTAGCATATATGTACGTGAAGAAATGGGAAACGGAGCTGGCCTCTGCCTGGCCAGACATACACCACCCAACAAATTGGTCAACACGATTTGGCCGGCCGCCAAATCGAACATTTTTTACCAGCCAGTGGGATCAAATGTGTTTTTTTCCTTTAGCTAGCCAACAAGCCTGTAATTCAACCGTCCACTGGACGTCCATTTAAATTTCCTATAAAATTTTGCCTTGGAGGCCTTTTCTTCTCATAGAAAAGAAATTCTAATTTTATTACTACTACTACTAAGATAAATTACGACAGTAATCTCTTTGATCAGATATTATAAAATTATAGAGATTATCAAATTTTTAGATAGTTTTTGTAACTTCACAATATTTTTATTGTAATTTACCTTTATTATTATTATCAAGAATTTGAAAATTTAGACAGACAAGGCTTGAATAAGATGATACATAATTGTAAGGATTTAGAAACTTGCCTCTCGAGAGGTAGGTTAAATCAGTTAGAATCTTATCATTAGTTTTTTTGGATATATAGATGGCATATATTTGTATCCGAGTATTCTACGTTTTAATCTCAGTAAATGCAGTGAGAATCCTTAATTAAAAAAAGAAAAAGAAAAAGAAAAGGATAGGTTCATGTGTTTGTTCATTGAATATTTGAATGTATATGGGACGATAGGTGTGGAAAATAAAAATAAAAAATTCAAGGAACCTATTTATATTTTTACATAATCGACATATCCGGAAGGTGAATCCTCTTGTTTTCGTTTCCTTTGTAAGTGCGGGAATCGTAGCATTAACTCACAAAATCTCAATCTAGACTCCTTTAGCCTCCAGCTAATTACAAATAACTCTAAAACACAAAAATATTTTACTGTTTATTGAACAGTGTTTTCCAGCTGGGCTCTTTTTTTTTTTTTTTTTTACTCTAAAACACTTTACAAGCAAAAATTTTTCCAGCTAGCTTTCAATTTTTTTCCCTCTGCCGGCCTTTCTTCAACTTTTTATAAGCATTTTTTTTTAAGTGCTTTGGTATCACTATTCCTGTAGCAATTGTTTTTTTTTTTTTTTTAGTTTACTTTCACTATACATGTTTTTCCCCTTTTGCTCTTTTTTTTTTTTTTAACATCAATTTAGGTTCTTTTCATGTAATTTTAAAAATTTTCAGGTTTATTTTATTTTGATCTCTAAACTTTTGAAATAAAAATTTTAATCCCCTAACCGATGCACTACACATGATTTTTTTCTTTTGCTTTTTTTCATCAATTTATGTTATTTTTAAAAAAATATTTTTTTTCATCAACTTATGTTCTTTTTTTAATTTAACGAGGTGTTAAAATTTTGAAAAATCAATCTTTAATTGTTTTTACACAAACTAACTATTATATAATATATACAATATTTTTTATATTTATATGATATATTCTTTTTTTTTACTCAGGTTTTCTTTTTATAATTTTCATAAATTTATATTTTTTTATTTAATTAGGTGTTCTATCTATCCGTAGCATTGCACAAATAATTTTAAAAATTAATCTTCTCATCAATATTAAATAAAAAAATTTCTCATTATTTAATTTTTGTAAAAATCTATCCATTAATTATGACTTTATTTTTTGAAATACAATATTATTAAAATTATATTTTAATTTTTTTTATTCTTGATTAATATTTTAGTTAAAATTATTATACTTTTTATTTTAAAATAAATCCATAAAGAAGAATGATTTATATTTTTTTAAGCAAAAAATTTGTTTAAAAAATTAAAAAAATTAAGTGAATAAAAAATTATAATTAAAAACTTTTAAAATTTTAAAATAATTTTTTTTATTGATCCCGCTGCATAACGTGAAAAAGTGACTAGTTACGTACTATTCTATCTCATTCGCCAAAAGCCCATAGACTCGAATTATAAAATGGAACGATTTTTGCATATTAACTTGAAGAATTTTTTTTTTTTTAATTTTTCAAAAAGTGATTGATATATATATATATATCCTTTGAATTAAATTTCCAAAACTAATTAACCTTCTGAAGGTTTCATCTCTATTTCAATACAGCTAAGCATCCATTTTTATTTTTATTTTTTTCCAATAAAAGCATCAATTCTTCCATGCAGAAGAAACAAAGCAATCAATTTTAAGTTGCAATTAAATTAAATTAAATTCTAAATAATCACCGCAACCAAAAGAAAATCTCTCTCCGTGTTAAATTATTCAGTCAACTCCTCTCCCTCTCTCTCTCTCTGCCCATTTGAGCCCTTGGATTTCAATAACCTTACGTAGACTTGTATATATGCCCTGGAATAAGAGAGAGAGAGAGGGATATAGAGAGCTAGAGAGGCTGGGATACAGAGAGACCAGTTTTTTCTTCCCCAGGAAACTTCTCTTCTCTTGCTATCCAGAATTGGTTGATTCCACTATCATCAATCATTACTTTTACAGGCCATTTTTGGCCTACTGGTAAGTGACCATCTATATATCTTGCTCTTTTTCTCTTCCAGCCCACAAAATAGCCCCCTTTTCTCTTCTTCTTTTTAATCGTTTGTTGATGGTCCTCTTTTATACCATATTACATCAAATTCAATAAAGTTCTTGATTTCTCTTTTATCATCAAACCGCCCTTTCTCCCCCACCTACAGGAGTTAGAACAAATTAAAGAGAGTACTATACCAGAGAAACATAAACCCAAAACAAGAAAATGCATTCAGCAAATCATTGGGGAGGATCGTTTGAGATTTACAATGGAGCAGAATCAACAACCGATGATGAGAAGAGTCGTAACATGGAGTGGGACAAGGCAGCCTTGCAACCCGATCACCAGCATCATCTAGATGAGACACAGCAGAGCTGGTTATTGTACCCTCAAGAGACCAAGAAAAAAAGTACGTGGACTTTGGCTGCGTAGCGTGTAGCCATAAAGCCTTGAAATGGACTCTTTATGCCTTTGTTTTTGCCATTCTTGTCATCGTACTCCCTACCGTCATCGTCAAGACTTTGCCAAAGCACAAATCTAAGCCTCCTCCTCCAGACAATTACACTCGTGCCCTCAACAAGGCTCTCCTCTTCTTCAATGCCCAAAAATGTAAGTCAAATCAAACGTTATGACCTTTTTTCTTTTCCCGGAGCTTTTTTTTTATATATATATATATATATAGTAATAAAGGGTAATTAATATTTTAGTGATCGCTTGCATTTAGAAATGGTATATATATTGAGTAATTTTCTCGTAGAAGAACAATACAATTCATGTCCTTAATTGGGTTAATCATTTTTCATTTACAATCCGAAACAAATTACGCAATGAAATGGGTTGGTTTGCCTTGCAGGGGTCGTCCCCCTCCCCCAAAAAATGCCTATGTTACATTTATTTTATATGATTACGGAAAAAATATTTCATAAGGTGAGGAGTAACCAAATAATAGTCTAGTTTGCTAGAATTTAGGACTCAAAAAGGATATAGATCATTAGATCCCAAATAATCCGAAATTAAATAAAAATAAAGAAATTATTCTTCTTAATTAATTAAAAATAGGAAATACCTCTATTTATATTAAAGAAAAATCTTTTGATTATATTTTATAGAGTCTAACCAAATTAAAGCTACAATTCTTTCCTTTTCTCTCTTCGGTTTTATTTTGTTTTTTGTTTTTTTTTGTTTTTTTCGAAGAATCTTTTTTCTTTTTTCCCTTTTTTTTTTCGATACTGGTCCATTTCATTATATATCATTTTTTTAGGTTTATTAAAAAAAATTAAAATCTAATACAATATAAGTAATAACATATCAAAATTAAGAGCAAATAAACAGGAATTCATTCTATTCAAATAAATAATATAATAAACAAATAAGAAACAAATGATAGCAAAATCATTAGAGTTGAAACAATGAAAACTATTGATAAAACAATAATAATACGAGTTGAAACGATGTGCATATATATATATATATATATATATATATATATATATAAGGCAAAGATAATGAAATTAACGTGCAAAGATAATGAAATTAACGTATCTATAAATATATATATAAGTTTTGGCCTTCTAAAACAGATCCGGTTTTTTTTCCTATGCTTGTCCCTTCCAAGGAAAACTGCCTCCGCTACCGATTTGTATATGCATGCATCTAATCATGTGTTTGATTTCACACACTTCCCAGTAAATTTAGGAATTTACTAGTAATTAAGCTACGTACTGTAACATGGGAATTTGATGATCAGGTCATTCCCGTGTAAATTATATTCTGATAAAACAGAATTTATTTGATTTAATAATTGGGTTAATTTAATTTCAATAACACCGATTTTCGACGAAGGAAAATTTTATAATACACAAGAGAGTAACTCAGTGGCATATACAAGTAGTTACTCTTTGGGTCCACTTTGAAGAGAGAGATAGACATAAAAAAGAGAGAAATTACATGTATACCTACCAAAAGTAATAAAAAGATTTCAACGTCCGCTCAAATTTTTTTATTTTCTCTCTTCTATTTCTCTCTCTCTCTTTATGCGTCTATCTCTCTCCTCAAAGCGGATCTAAGGAGTAACTACTATACATGTTACTAGTTACTACTTGTGTATTATAAAATTTTTCGGATTTTGAGATCCCAAAAGGCAGATTATTAGCGGACTCGTGTTTTCTTATGATTATTATATAACGTTTAATTAGGTCGGTTCAAACAAGTGCTTGTGTCTATTTCCATTTTTTCACCTATCAGAAGTATTAATTAAGAACATGGTCAGCCCTACTTTTCAATAGGTTTTATTATAGCCTTACAGGGAGGTCCTTAAGCCTGTGGCTCAAGTAATTACTTTCACGTTAGGATTAGATAGTCCCGGAGAGAGGTATCGAATTCGACTCGACGTCTCTCTTGAAATCCATTAAAAGGAAAAACCCTTGCAGTAGGGAGTCAAACGAGATTAAAATTTGCATTAAGGTAGGTAGGCACGTAGATGGAAAAAAAACCCTTGCAGGAGGGAGTCATATGAGATTAACTGAAGGATTTGAGCAGAACCTCTACTTCCTCTATCACCTGCTCTGAAAAAGACAGTTTTAATGTCTGATAACACAAATGTCTTTGGACATTGTCCTTATCCGAGTGGTTGAAGACACTGCAGCTTTCACATGATGTCTCTTTCATCTCTTGGAATTTGTCAACAAATCTAATCAATTCTTGAATTGAGGCATTGACCTCATTAATAAACAATTTCTTTAGACCTAACGGTTAGATTTATAATTAGCCATTGGTGGGTTTATACTGATGTTTTATTATAGAATTAACAAGTGCTAATTGGGAGAAACATCAATGAATGTTGTACAGCTGGTAAATTGCCTAAGAACAATGGAATACCATGGAGAGGAGATTCAGGGCTACAGGACGGAAATGGTACTGAGTTTTCTAAAGTAGGTCTTGTTGGAGGATATTATGATGCTGGAGACAACACCAAGTTTCATTTTCCCATGGCATATGCCATGACAATGTTGAGCTGGAGTGTCATTGAGTACAGTCAAAAATATGAGGCCATTGGCGAGTACAAGCATACCAGAGATCTAATTAAGTGGGGTACTGATTACTTGCTATTAACCTTTAACTCCAGTGCCAGCAAAATTGACAAAATTTATTGCCAGGTAATTAATATTCTTCAATCAAAATGAGTTTTATGAATGATTTCTATTTATTAAGATTTTATTGAACATAAACTTCTGTTGATTGTTAGTATGACGTCCTTTGTGTGTCTATTTCCCAGGTTGGTGGATCTCAAAATGGCTCCAGAATTCCAGATGATCATTACTGCTGGCAAAGACCTGAAGATATGGACTATCCGAGACCTACACAATCTGTAAATGCTGGCGCTGACCTTGCAGGAGAAATGGCAGCAGCCCTAGCTGCAGCCTCGATAGTATTCCGAGACAACGAGGCCTATTCGAAAAAGCTTGTAAAAGGTGCAGAGACAGTATATGCCTTCGCCAGGGATGGTGGAAAACGGCAAAAATATTCTCGTGGGAACCCTTACATTGAACCTTACTACAACTCCACTGGCTATTACGATGAGTACATTTGGGGTGCTACTTGGTTGTATTATGCCACAGGAAATACTAGCTACATTAGCCTGGCAACCGAACCAGGCTTCTCTAAGCACTCCAAGGCACTTTTCAATATTGCGGATTTGAGTGTGATGAGTTGGGACAACAAGTTACCTGCAGCTATGCTTCTGTTAACAAGGTACAGGATATTCTTGAATCCAGGATATCCATACGAGGAGGTGTTGCATCTGTATCATAATAAGACAGAACTTAACATGTGTTCTTATCTCCATCAGTTCAATGTATTCAACTGGACTAAAGGTACATGCATCGGATCTGGCTCTTTAATCATGTGACTATGTGATTCTATTTGCTTCAATTCATTATGTCCCAGTTTCTGATGAGTTTTCAAAAACTTGCAGGAGGAATGATCCAACTGAACCATGGAAGGCCACAGCCTCTTCAGTATGCGGCTAATGCTGCCTTCTTAGCATCACTCTTTGTCGATTATCTGAATGCCACCAGAGTTCCAGGATTCATTTGTGGTCCCAAATTTATTACACTGGATGTTCTTCGGAGCTTTGCCACCTCACAGGTACCCTTTTCTTCCGAATCATTCTGTTTCAAGAAAGAGTAACTTGCTAATTATAGTTGATAAATATCCTCCACTGCCAATCCAACTCGAATAGGCAGTCCCAGAGTAGGAATTGTGTTGAAGCAAGAACTGCTGATATACACAGCTGATCAGAGTCGTTTACGATAGAAAATAAACTTCGGATGTTCCCACTTTAATTAGAAATTCTGACCAAATACAGATTGTTACCCAAATCATTTATTAGTTTTTGGATCGGGGAATTTGAACTTTCGGAATTCCTCTTCAGCCGAGATAGTTTTGGTATCGATTAGGCTATGCCTGAGCCACAAAATATAGTTATTCTTCTAGAAATTGCCTCGTATGTTCTTTTATCTCCCTGGCAGACTAATCCTCCCGTGATTGTTTTCAACACAGATCAACTACATACTAGGCGATAACCCCATGAAAATGAGCTATGTGGTGGGGTATGGCAACAAGTTTCCCAGACACGTTCATCACCGTGGAGCATCAATACCTAATGACAAGAAAAGATATTCATGCACTGGCGGATGGAAGTGGCGTGACACCCCCAAAGCCAATCCTAACAACATTACAGGAGCCATGGTTGGAGGGCCCGATCGCTTTGACCAGTTCCGTGATGTTCGCTCTAATTACAACTTTACCGAGCCAACTTTAGCTGGAAATGCAGGACTAGTTGCTGCGCTGGTATCCTTGACAAGCAGTGGTGGAATTGGCATCGATAAGAATACAATCTTTTCAGCGGTTCCTCCACTCTACCCTCCAAGCCCTCCACCTCCTCCAGTTTGGAAGCCTTGATCTGCTAAAAAATTAATCTCCAACGGCTTGAGCCTTGTTTATACTCCTGTTCCTGAAGTTTTGTTATGGAGCTTTTATTTATACATCATTGTACACTTTATATGTTCATTACCGTGCAACATCGGGATCTTCATGTTACTTAGTACAAACTCTTTGTTTCTGTTGCTTTGCTGAACTATCAGTGCAAATGTTCATTACTTTACAATCGATTAAAAGGCATGAAATCAATCCACTGCCACTCTTCACCAACAAGTTGGTTCATCATAATCCTCAATTTGTTCGGTGGCTCAAAGATTTAGTATTCTTTGGAAATGCAGATAAACTGGGATTGTTGAGTGTCAATGCACTGGGCTGTTGATCATTTTCCCGGGTTCCTTGGACATTCTTAATCCTTGCTAGTAGAGGATTTAAATCTAACGTCATTTTTCAAACTCAAGAAACCACTTGTGGAGATTTCCGTGGGGCTAAAGTGTGATTTTCCCTGAGGTTGAATTAAGTTTAATTACTTTATTCCCAAATTCAATAAATCACTTTTGACAAGTTAGCTTGAAAATATTATTGGTAAAAATATGATAAAAAGGAATGCTTCAAGTTTCTCTATTCATAATTCTTTCATTAATGAACTTGAGTCAAAATCAATAATTAACTTGAAATTTTTACATTTTCTTAGATTTAAATGAAATCCTTAAACAAGTTACGAATTAATGAAAAACAGTACATTTAAAGTGATTTATGATTTTTTGGGTCAGCTGTGAAGAAAAAGGTTGGACGAAATCGCCAAAGGCACTCGAACTCCCTTGATGCTGTTTTTCTTGGTCAAGTCTCCTTTACAATTCAACCACAAACATTTCGAGAATGAAGGGAACCTTAGTTGGGCACTGACATGACAGACCTTGTGAGACCTTTTTCATTATCAATTGAAGCAGAAACAACCTGATTATATCCAGGATGCATATTATGTTCATTACAAATGGGGGAGGAGGATGGATTTTAATCGACTGCATTTCACCCTCAAGAATTAGAGATGTGTTTGTAGTAATTATTGTACATAACAAGAACCTGGTTCTATAGGTGCTCCTCGGCCTGGTCCACCTAGAGGAGCTGCAGCAACTCCTCTTTGATTCAACAAACACCTGAAGTGTGCTAACCTTCCAGCAACTTGTTTTGGATCCTTAGCTAGCTTGTCATAAGGTGTCCATAGCCGCTCTTCAATCACCAAGAAAGAGAAGCAAAGAGAATAAAATCGTTAGTTTACAAGGAAGAGGAAGCAAAGAGAATAAAATTGTTAGTTTATAATGAAGATACAGTTTTGCAACAAAAGATTCAGCCGACTGGAGAACAGATAGAGTAACGTGAAATATTTGGTACACCAAGCTTAAAAACAAAAGGAAGAAAGAAAAGAAGTACTTAAAGTTGTATAGTTTGTCTCTCTCCTATAATGATGGGAAAGTTTCTCAGGAAATGCCTCTAAGAGGGTTTGAAAATAGACCAAAACTAGTGAACTCTAAGAATCACTAGAGATTTCAAACATTGAAAGTGTGCTCTCGAAGTCAGCGAGTATGCAAGTGTGCTTAAGGCATCTCCCGTGCAATATTTAAATGAGACTACCAGTCATCTGCCTTGATCTGAGAATGCTTGCAGTGACAACCATGTATTAACATTAACTAATACTGCCTTCGGGATGTAAAGGCAACAATCTCGTAATGCACAGAAACATCCCAAAACATGTAGCATCATGAACCCTTAGTAAATTCTCCAAGACCTTGACCAATTTATGTTACTGGGAGACTAATTTGAAGTCAGATAACTTTATTGTTTACATTACCATACTGTCCTTTTCAATGACCATAACACACTATATAATACTGAAAACAAGTAAGGATGCACAAGTTTTTATAAATATGATGCAATAAATCAGCAAATTCATTTTCTTTCGACAAAAACCACAAGTACCTGCAGCAGCTGCAGCACGTGGCCATATGGTTTGTTCAATATCTGATGCATCTACTTTTTCTCCCCACATGCATACTTCACCGCCAATAACTAAGCCCTGTTGCTTGGGGTTTGTGATATTTGTGAGTGGTTCATTCGTGTAGAATTCTTCCCAAGGAGTATCCAAGTGATCTAGATACCATTTGTCTTGGTTGCTCACAATGCACCTCAACCCAGATGCAACCACTCGTGCAGCAACTCCACCTCCAAGCCTGCAAAGAAAATTATAAGCTAAAGATCAAGTGTGCCTGAAATACAAGGACAAGCAAATATAATCATCTCTAAGACCTATTATAGTATTTGCTTGGTGGAAAAAGAGTCCAGAACATTTTTTGTTCCCACGGTGTAATTAACTCAACAAAGTTCCCTGATCGTCTAATGTCTACTGTAATTTTAATTGTGATACAATATATGTATTGCTTCAACAATGATTCACAAAGAGAATTAGTTCCTGAAGTTTTCATCTGCAAATAAATGAACTTGGGCCAGGTGAACCTCTTCAGAGTTCAGACCGACCCGAACATCAAAGTAATGAGAGTGACTATTAGAAGATGAGAAAAACACTCTTACCAATTACTACTTTTGACTCTTTCTAGTATATAAAAATACTTGTCACGATTAACATTGCAGATGGTCAAAAACATCTTAAAGCCCTTATCATGTCAAGTTTAGCTGCATCAATTAACCAAAAAAATTTGTGCATATGGGAGCTTTTTCCATCTTTTATATGATCTTGATTCTAATCTGTTTCTGGTGTTCAAAAAGAATAAGAAAATCCTCTTCTCGATGCAACAAGTCAAACAAGCAAATAGATGGCTGCATCATGGATAGATGATGCTTATATATGTTCATTTTACTGATCTACAGGGTTCCCATGTTAGGATGCATCATGGCAAAGCCACTAGATGAAACTGTGCAAAAAGTATGGCGTACCAATTGTGCACCACAGTCTTCCGACTTAATTTATCTCCAAAGTCATTGAAGGTCTCCTCCCTGTTACATTGAATGATTTAATAACATGCAAAAACCAATGAAAGTCAATATCTAGCCTTATCCATAATAGTTCATACCAGTTAACAATTTCAAATCCATGGGACAAAGCTATTTTCTGTGCCCGCAAGACAAAGTACTGATAAGCTTGAGATTCATTCATATGATGCTCTTTTAACCTGCAATTCAGGAAGTGAAGAATGTCGGTGACAGTATCTTGATGAATTCAAGGCTAAACAATGTACAGTGGGAATACAATTGTCATGCTCTCTCTCTCTCTCTCTCTCGTTACAATTGCATTTGCTTTTAAGCTACATGGAAGGGAGAAAAACAGAATCTAATAGACATAGCTGGCGGCATGCTAATTATTTCTCAGGAAATCAAATATTAGCAGTAATCTTAAAAGAACATTGGCATAGGAACAAACAGTACCCAAATAAATCCATATGAATTAGCTATAAATGGAGGAAAATATGGTTGTGGACATCAAGCACGAAGATGTAAATAATGTGATTTACTCACTGTCTCCCCAAAAAATAAAAGAAAAGAAATATCAGTTACTTCACAAGTACAATCGTGGAATTGTTACCATTTTGTAATGTGGGGAGTTATTGTCCAGCAACCTGAAAAAAAAAAAAAATGCAATTGTATGTCAGTAATGTGAAGCTCCATCTATATACAGATAATGATAAAAATATTATTTTAAAAGTAAAGAGCAAACAAAAGCAAGTAACATCTGACCAAGATTTTCACTGACATCAAGTATCATTTTTCAACACACACACATAAAAATGATAAAAGGAAAGAAAATTCCCATATGCCAAGGGAAAAAACAAGATGATGCGTCATGAAAATGAATAACCAAAACAAAAATGGTGATGGCGAAATGAAACTATTGAACTTACTTGTGTTAACTTCATCACCTCCCAAGTGAACAAACTTAAATTTAAAGATCTTACTGAAATCTGGAACATGAAAACATTAATCACATTAAGCATTCTTCCTTTATTTTCTTTTTTCCATTGAAATTAAGCTAACTCGCAATATATATATATATATATATATATATATATATATTCTCAGTCTTCTGACATGACATATTGGCATCAAATCACATTGTTCCAAACTGAAAGTAGAGACATTACCTGAAAGAATCCCATCTATCACTTTGAAAGTAAACTCACTGCTGACATCAAGTGGCTGCTGACAGTCTTTTGATGGCCATAAAGAAGGATAGCCATGCCCCCTAATTACAGGGAAAAGGAACCCATTTAAGTCACTTGGAGATCTCAGTTTGTCCTATCATAATGGCCATATTGCAAAGAAGAAATAGCAAAAGACAATTTTTTTGGTTTTCGTGAGTTTGCAACTTTGGGAAACAAGGGAAACTTGTATAGCCCACCTTGCCGTAAGTTTTTAAAATACTATGACCTTGCCGTAAGTTTTTAAAATACTATGTTACATATTTAAGATGATCTGGACTATGCACCCAAGCCTGAGATAGCCATGAAGGCTTATGCATTTGTGATCCCATACAAGTACAATCCTAGAAAAGGGAACTCTGAAACAGTCAAGCGCTGCAGCATTTTGCATCAAATACCTACCCCCAGACCTCAGATCTACAATACCTTGGTTTTCAGCCAGGGCTTTCACCAGATAGCGCTAGACAATGGCCTTTTAACCCTTGTCATATTTGGCCCTGAAAACCATTAGCGGTCGTCACTTTTGTAGAAAGTTCACTAAGGCTAACTGTAATAGCTCCATGAGCTACAAACAACTTTTTGGCTTGCCGGCAGTAATAATAAAATAAAATCTTTATAACCTCAAAACTTCCAAAAGCAAGCAGTTTTCTTGGACACAAGTTGGCAGGGTGATATAACTACCCAACTTTATTGTTTGAGAGGAAGAACATTCTTACAGGGAAACCATACAGGTCAACAGAAAGATATGCCATCATTGGGGGAGCAATGGCAGCTTCTCATATTGGCTTATGGTGAAATGTTCCACTAATCCTCAAGGATCATAAATTATTTTTAAGGGAATATAACTGAGACAACAAAGAAAACCACTACATGAGAATGCTACTATTACCATGAGAGAGCATGTCCAGGAACATCAAGTTCAGCTAATACATTAATTCCTCGCCTTTGAGCATAACTGCAAAATGTTTGTTGACACAATAGAGATGATAAACCTACAGAGACAATAATTAGGTAGAAGGTGAAGACAGAAGAATCACTTGCCTCACAATTTCAGCAGCATCAGAAAAGGTGTATCGCTCTGAAACTGAGTAAGCCCCATCCCACAGCTTTGGATATGAAGGCATCTCCAAAGGGAAAGATTGTGTATCTACAATGTGCCAGTGCAAGACATTCTGCATATGCAGCAGAGTAAACTCATAAAGGCCAATAACTGGGGTTTTGCATTTCAATAGTTTTTTGTCAACCTTATAACACCTTCTACAAGGAAAATCTACATCCCACCTCCAAGTTTTGTTGATACTACAGCTATCTGAGTTGTTACCACTAGCTAGATGATAACAGTAAGCGTAAGGTCGGTGTAAAACTGCATAACCATCTTGTTACAAAGCAAACCATATCAGCAAACTGCTAATTACTGCAAGTTTGTTAATACCATTTTCAGTTCAGAAAGGAGAGAAGACAGGTCACTTAAGCAACAGTTGCCAAATTTCTGTATCATTTCATGTTGCATGGATTTCCAGGCACAAGATCCAATGCTTAAATGCTGCTCTATTCTTTTTTATGCATGCAAGATATTCCCAAACTCCATTACTGTCCTTCTTGCGGCAGAAGCTAATTCAGATGAACTAAATCCTAGCAAAAGGTTATGAGCAGAAATAGGGACCATACTCCTCAACAAATGTAATCATGAAATCATCTGATACCTATAGTGCTAGTAGCAAAATACCACTGATTATTTTCCAGCAAACAGTAGAACAAATATGTATTTATATCACCTATTGTTCTAAAAGATTCTCAACTATAGATTAGCTAACTATGCATGACATACCAATTTTGCATAGGCCATAGAATCAATTACTTTCTTAATCATCGGCAACGGCTGATAGTGTCTTGATGTATCTGCACAAATTCCACTTGTAAGTCAGACAAGCACATTAAAAATTTGAAAACAAAGAGTGGACCTGAGATTTTAAAAAACAGGGTCGACCAAACAATTGAACATCCACCTTTTCAAGGGCCCCTGTTTCAGCTTGGGATAACCCTCTAGACCCATTTCACTAGAAGTAAACTTTCTTCCCATCAAAACCTTCAGTGATTAAATTGCCAAACTTACCAAACCAGAAGCTAGTACATAGAATAATGCCCTCAATTGGGTCTTTGAAAGACATATCACAGAAAGAGGACTGCAGAAAACAACTCACCAATCAAGAGCCCTCGATAAGAGAATCTTGGTTGATCAATGATAGTCCATGGGACCATGGGAACTTCAATCACTTTAGTTCTCAAGTTAAAATGACATAATTGGCTGAACGTCTGCAATATTTAATGCCATGTCAAACTTTGACAATTTTGAACTTGGTAGTAATATCAAAAGAGATAAAACTTAATGTCTTAAGGAATATGTATAAGACCTGAAGGCCGTGTAATGCCCCATAAACAGTCTGTGCCTGCAATGTTGGAAAACAAAATTTGAGTTGATCAAACAATTTACGTGAATCAAAGCGTACTGATGTAGACCAAACTCAGCATTGACCATTAAATCTATAAATTGGTGCCTCATTAAGAACATTAGCGCAAAATGAATCAGCAAGACCCCTTTCCATCATTGGTTATAATCATGGTAGTGGAAAGCTATATAAAACATGATTTTATGTTATTAACTCTAGATGATCTGTGATTGACCCACCTCATAAACAAATACTAAGTTTTTAACTTCGCTAATCTAGATAGGAAATATTTCCTTTGGGACTCTTTCTCCAAATTCGCTAGGCTAGATAGGAAACAATTCCTTTGTCCAAAAGATTAAGACTGAAAACATTTGTCAATGCCCTAGCTACACGGGTCAATGCAAATCCAAATATGTCAAAGCTACATTCAATTATAAATGTATAAAACATATTTTAGAAATGTCAAACAAATTCGGCCGCATTTTTATCGAGGTCTTACTATTTGAACATCTTCCTTGAGAAAGCTATTTAATTACAATTGAGTTGGGCAGGTGTAAAGTTGTTAAACAGATAAAGCTAAGAAGACAAAAGGGATTGGTTGCACCCACCTCAAGATGTACGTGATCTGGCATCTCCGGTGAAGGAACCAGCAATTTGTATGACTCGTCAACACCATATTGTAACTGCAAAAGCAAACCAAGAACACAGGGAGATATAGCATTTATTTAATCCAAATTCTCGAAGAAAAGCTCTCCAGATTTCTTCTAAAATGAATGAAAAAAAAAAAAGAAGAAGGGAAAAAACCTTGATTATTGTCTATATAAAACTTAATGATAGTTACAGCTCACGCTTAATTCTTTCGAATAATTGTTGTCATGAATGAAAATTCTCAGTTCTTACGCAAATGAATCATGTAATTCATCAATCCAAAAAAAGCTATTAAAACAAAGGGATTATTAATTTGTACACAAATTAGACATCACTTTGTACTTTAAGATCCTTTGGGCATCTTCGTAGAAACAGTTGTCAAAAGTAGTCATGAAACTTTTTATACGAATGGAAAGAAAAAGGGAAAAATCACTTCGTTTTAATCGCATTCCCAGAATTGTAAAGAATAATTCACTTTTTAGGCCCATGTGAATGAGCTGATCAAGCAATAATTACAAATGAATCATGTAATTCATCGATCCAAAAAAGCTATTAAAACAAAGGGATTATTAATTTGTACACAAATTATACATCACTTTGTACTTTAAGATCCTTTGGGCATCTTCGTAGAAACAGTTGTCAAAAGTAGTCATGAAACTTTTTATACGAATGGAAAGAAAAAGGGAAAAATCACTTCTTTTTAATCGCATTCCCAGACTTGTAAAGAATAATTCACTTTTTAGGCCCATGTGAATGAGCTGATCAAGCAATAATTACAAAAGAAAAAACAATTTTCTGACATAATTCTCAAAAGAAAAAAAGATATCCAGTCCAAACAAGAGAAGAGACAATAAAAATGCGAAGAAAGACTGATAATCAATTACAGCATACCTGGTCACCTGGTGAGAAAATAACCACATGAATTCCTTTAATAATGAAAGACTTGTCTACACTAGAAAGATTACCATCAACAACATGAGCAACTTTCACTACATCAAGCATTCTTGTAAAGCCATCCTTCAAAATCCCAGAACCATCACTGTACTTACTCCCATCAGTATCTAGCTCAAAATCTGGACTCAGGTAAACCCTCTTGTGCCCTTTACTTACCCACTTAGGCATTGGCCAGATATTCAATTTATCCACATTCTCTGCCACAGCAACCCCAAGGAACAAAAACACCACCAACAACCAAGCACTTTTCAGCCCCATCTCAATTTTTCCAACGAAATCAAGATTGAAGTTCAACCATATAGACACACCAACGTGTATCAGTGTATGTCAATTTTCAACTCCGAGTGCTACAGCAACTAAAAAAAGAATCAAGGGAGGTGAAGAGAAGGGGACAAGAGGGTTATGGGCGGCTATAAAATTTTTAATGATAATGGGAATGGGCAGATATGCTGTTTTACGTTTCTCTTTTTGTTACATTTCCAGTATTAAACTAATGATTGTTTTGGAGTGAAAAGGCATAAACTTGAGGAGTGAGTGTGATGGGTTTTATTTCTTTATTTGTCGTCTCTCCCATCCCATTCCATCCTGTTGTTGTCTTAAAAAGATTATAGTAAATCTAAAATCTAAATCTGAATCGACTCTTATTCCTATTTGTGATTTCAAAGTCGAATCAAAAACGTCAATTTAGAAAAATACGGAAGTTTGGTTTTCCGCTAATCAAATGTACCTGTCTAAATGGAGTCAAAATGGGATAATTGCCTTGGATTAAATAGTTTAACTGATTAGCGCTTGAAATTTTGCTCAATGCTTTGTGAGCAACCTAATTTGAAGGGATTGGTTTGATAACTAAAAAAAATTACTTTTTATTTTTTATTTTTGAGAGTCAAATCTTCTGAGTAATATTTAAAAAAAAAATTATTAAATTTACCTAGACGTACTAGGTGGATGTGAGGATGTATTTCTAAGATTTTTCAAAAGACTCAGTTTCAATTAGCCCATAAACTAATTTGAATATATCTTTATAGTAAAAAAAGTGATTTCTTATTAAAAGTTCAATTCCATGGTAGTTAAATGATTTTATTTGAATTTTTATCGAAATTCTTTGCTAAACAACACGTCATATTAATCATTGAAGATGGTCTGAAAAGAAATTTAGTCTCAATTGATTGGCCAACTAGTCCGAAAATATCTTTAGAGTAAATTAAAGAGAGAGAGAGAGAGATTTCTAATGTCAACGTAGTAGATAGTTTTGTTTGAGTTTTTTTCAAGATTCCTTACCAAATAACATGTCTTATTAATCACATGCCATTAGTTTTTACATGAACAAGAGCAATGTCATTCTTACATCATTATGTTACAGAATTTACTTATTTAAAAATATTAATTATTAGATTAATAAAAGTTGTTAATAAAATCTATCTATTTAATGCATAAGATACTTATTTAATATATTTTTTAGTAAGTAAATTTTGCAAGACAATTGTAAAGAAATCACTTGGCACGCAAAGGAACAGTTATCGAAGATTGAGATGTTCAATTCAAAATAATAGAGAAAATCTCATGAGATTTTTTTGAAAATTTTAAAAGATAGGAATAGGGAGTTTGAATTAAAATTCTCTAGTAAGCACGTCGATGAGGTCCTGAACATCAAAAGATGAAGTGGCTTTTTCTCGGCCATTATGATTATGGAGTTCGATGGTAGATAGAGATCAACCTAACAAAAATACTTTTAAAATAAGTCTTCTTACTGGGTTGAAAGACTCTCGAATGTTCTCATTATATAATTTTTTTAAAAGACCCATTGATGTTACATCTTGAAGTGATCGGAGTGCTAGGCATATGGCAAGTCCTTTTCCTTTGTGTCATATTTTCTGACTACTTAATGGCCCTTGTTCGTACCTCATTTTCTTTTATAATTGATCACTTTTTATTGTCTATTATCATGGTTTTTTTTCTCTCTTAAAGTATGAGGAAAAATATTTTGAAGAGGTTAGTTGATCAACTCTAGCTGTAGCTACTCCTTTTTTGGGGGGAATTTTAAGATTGGGTAACTTGTGCTAATGGTGTTGTTTATCTGATGAATGAGGGGTCTTTCAATGATGGTATTGTAAGTCAAGTCCATATTGATAACTATGAACATCTGGTGAAGGGTCGGGCTTTAGGAAAAAAAGGTATCCATGATGATCAGGATCTTCATAGCCTCTTTTAGCGGCACTCTTCTGTCTTTTATACCTGCTAGTAGAGTTTTAATCAATCGTAGATTGGAATGGTCAATTTTCATCAAGTTAAGGACTTTGTAGGACAAGATTTTAATGATATTGCCATCGTCCACAAGAACTTGAAGAACTTTATGGTTAAAAAGGATCACAACGCTGACAAAAGCATCATTGTAGGGAAAAGATACACCCTATGCATCCTTGGATAGGCTCATACCAAGAGGCTAGAGTGCGTTAGGTTGTGAGAACTTGCTTCTCATGCATCCTTTTTTATTGGACTCTCTTTTGATTAAAGGTCCCTCCAGATCTATGAAGTTTTCGTAATGATTGCTTAATCCTACTCTACTTCAATTTGGATTGGACCTAACCCTCTCTTCAAACATTATTTAAGTTAGCCCTTAGTGATCAGTCTTTCTGTTTCTATTTTCAATGCAAATAGCTCTTCATGTCATTACCATTCTCTTTATAAAAAAATATAATACTTTCTCCAACTACAAAATTGTGGAGGGCTTTTAATTGAAGGAATCATATATGTTTCTCTTTTTATGGTGGCTTACGCCTTCGGTGGGTAGTGTTCAAATGAGTGTACTAGAGTTTGGGGAAGATCGAGTGACAATAAACTGGTCCCTTGAGAATTTTTTTTTACTAAATTGGTTTCATAGGGATCTACCTCTCCTCGTTTTTTTCTTTAATTTTCGAAAATGAGGGTGAGCTTATCGAGTGACGACGAGCTTATAGCTTAGATCCTCGAAACTAAGTATAAACTCAAGATCTAGGTTATTATACCATTTTCCAATCATTTTCCAAAAAGTGGTGAGAAGGATCTTAGACATGACATACGTACCTTGAAGAGTTAGTTTGAGAGTGCCTTTCATAATTTGCATGTGCTCTCGTGGATTGATCTTGCCATCATAAGTGTCCAAATTCCTCTCAAGATACTGGGAGCAAGTGCAAAGGCTTAAACCTTATAAATCTAATGGCCAGACTCTACCTGGAGAATAAAAGTGAATCGTTTGCCCATCCATGGGTGTTTGGGTACGAGGATCTTTGAGGCTGTTTGAGAGTGTGAGTTGTCCTGATAGTGTCCCCTTCTGTGAACCCTCGTACTCTTAACGACATTTCAATCTTTCATCCTCCCTCTCTTTCCTTAGCTCAGAGCCTTGGCTAGCTAGTTGTCTGTCGTGGTGGTAAAATGTTTTAGTTTTTCAATTCGATTTGGTTTTTGAATTTTTTGTTTGGTTTAAATTGAACATCGATTTTTTTTTATACTTTTTTTATTTTTAAAATAAATTAAATAAATTAAAAAATAAATACTTTAAACATTGTGTGTTTGTGTGTGTGTTATGGATTGATGGTGTTTTTTTTTTTTATCTATTTATATCATTTAAAATATTAATTTAAACTAAAAAGACTAAAACCAAGAAACCGAATAATAATTCAATTTGGGTTTGGTTTTTGTTTTTGTAGGTTCGATGATCAAAAATCAAACTAAAATTGTTAAAAATAGAACACAAAAAAAAACCAAATGATCACGCTTAGTCACTAATGACGTCATGAATCTCGAAGATGATGTGTTTTTTTTTAGCTGGTATGATTATAAAGTTTGATGGTTGATGGAGATCAACCTAGTTGGAATATTTGTAAAATAAGTCTTTATAATGATTGAAAGATCTTTAGATGACTAAGTCAATAAATAAAAAAGGATGATTGACTCGAAAAGACATTGATACAATGATTCAATTATAAAAGAGATGATTATAGTAACGATAAGAAGAGAGATTCATAACCCTTCACCTTGAATCTTGTGATTGTTTATATAGTCAAGATTTCATCAAATTATATGAAAGAAAACATAAGATGGTTCACTCTCTTATTATCAACAACCTTCGATGCACACTCGGAGGATAAATATCTTAATATTGATAAGTCACAATTAGAAGAGTATGATGACATCATATTGGTGTTGACTAGACAAGATTGATCTTAGAGGTGTGTCTTATACGTCTTTTCTAATTGATGGGATCGGGTTTGGCCCATCCAGGTTGGAATCGAGCTAAGGCCATTCGAGATGCTCATGAAAAATACTTAGTTGAGTCTACTTTTTCTGCTTATATTTTGATTGTAGTCCCATTCTTTTAGACTCTCGTTTGGGTTGATAGTTTAACCTAACATAAATTATATGATTATGTATGTCATATGACCATATAATTCGTAACGAGACTTGTTAACTAGATAGCCATTTTGCCACCTAATTGTTATAAAAAAAAAAACATTATATAAGCACCATTAACTAAACTCACCATAAACACAAGTTGTTTTTAAAATCATCGTTAACTATATCATACATAACGATGCTTGTTAATTAGATAGCCAATAGTTTTTTTACATACGGGTTGAAGAAGATATATTAAATTATTTAGAACAATAATTTCAATTTGATAGTCCGTTTTATGATATCAATTTATAAAAAATATATGAAATCAAAGACGATAAAATTTATTTATAATTTTTTAATCAAAAATTTTGTATTTAACTATTTCTTATTTGTATTTTTCATAATTTTTCCTGTAGAAAAATGATTTATCCTTGTTAATCCATGGATTATTAACTAAAAAAAATTAAATAAGTTTTTTTAAAAAAGGCTTTAGTATTTCATAAGATTGCGTCGAAAAACATAGATAATAATTATTAAAAGCTTATATAAAATTGAATAAATAATTTTTTTATTTCATATTGATGAGAATATCGATTTTTGAAAAAATATAAGTTTAATTTTTATATATTTATTTACAAAATAATTAATAATATTAAAATAAAAAACTATATTAATCTGAATCATTAAGTGGTTAACCCAAAATATTATTTTAATTATTTAATTTAAAATATTAAAAAACAAACAAACAAACAAATAATAAATGCTTAGTGTAGTATTAGTTGCATAGTTAATTTCTGAAAAAACAAAGATTCAATATTTTTTTATACATCATAACTATACTAAGTAAGTTCATAGCCTAGTCTAAAACAAAAAATACTAAAAAAAAA